ACATCTCCAGTATTGGGGGGATGAACCATCTGACGGCGCTGCGCACGATTAAAGGACGGGCGCAAAATGAAATGATCGGCTCCACAGAATCCATAGTACTTTCATCATTAGACAGCAACGGCACCGTTGTGCGGTCTCGGTCAAAGGCGGCGATGTTTAGTGTGGATCCCACCGCAAAGCTACCCCTGAGTGGAATTGTGCATTCTAAGGGTAACTGCCTCAATGCGGCGACAGGTTATGATAGTTGTTCAAAATGTATGCCAAAGAAACCATTTCTGAGTCGCTGGGTGTGAGTATTTTAGCGGAATGTAGTGAATCCTTCATTTCTGATTTTTTCAAATCATTGCAAAGGGTATTCTTCTATGGAATTTCAAATTCTAATCTTCATAAAAAACATAATAATTTGAAATTCAAACAATCATGCCCTTATACAGAATCTAAGCGATGTGTGTGGTGCCTATAGACTATTCCTCTGTGTGTTATTGTACACTAATATTTTTTAGGGGGTTGACGCTGCGTACCCACAACACACTTGATATAAGTATGAAGCTAGCTGTAAGTTTAGCTGTCATATCGCGCATGCTGAATGAATCCTGACAGACTGCAAAATTCAATTGGAACTTGACATAACTCCCATTTATAGTTGTTTCATACGTCAACTATGATTGAATTTTTACAAAAAATATTTATAGAGGAAAAAAAACACACTATGATAATTTTTGATAGCGGATTCATTTTCTGAACTCAAATGTGTACCACCTCTTTTTATTATTAATTAGTTTTTGTGTTGTCGTTATTTCATAGTTCGTATAGGGAACTTATCATTCCCTAAGTTGTCAAATTAGCTTAATGTGCTTAACTATGTCGGAGTTGGTATTGACATGCTTAGTTATTTGAGTCTTTATTGATTAGGTAGTAATAATTTGACTCTTTTTTTTCTCTTTTAAGCAGATTCAGTCTATGCACTATTTCTATACTTTTTAAGGTCTTTTACCTTAATTGAAGGAGATCCTTTCAAGTATGTGTAGCTCAAATTAATAAGTCATTGTTGCTATTTTAAATATGTTTTTATCTAAATTATTATTTTGTACTCTTAAAGGACACAGACAAGTCTATTTAACCAGCTTTTAATGGAGTTGCCTTGTCTCTCTGAATGTGATTTCCCCTTAGAAAGTGTTCTATAATTTATTTATGTTTAAATTCCTTTCCAGCTTGAACCCTTTCCCATATACACACTTTTAATGTATCTTTAAAAGAGTTACAGGAGGGAATGGCAACTTTCTCGTATAAAATGTTCTAATTTTTAAAATTTAAACTCTTGATTAATATGCAGCTTTTAGTAGAATATATGCTAAGCAGCGCCTGTAGCTTACATTTTCTACTAGTTCTTAAAATAATCAAAAGCTGGAAATTATGAGTTGCAACGTAGCTGTTTTTATTTATTTCACACATACTTTTTTGCAACGCATGTTGATCATTTTTTTCCATTTGATGATTACCTTTCCAAAGACGTAATGATTATATTTCCCATGATGCATGCAATCTAATTATATCTGATTATTACTTTGGTGCTATTACAAACATCTAGTGCATATTTTTTTGTATTTAATTTGCTTTATTCAACTTTACTCATTTTACAATATCCCCTCCCATATATACCAATCTATTTGTTCTCCTTTTTGTGGTTAAAAGGTGACTCAAATAACACTGCCGTCAGGCAACTCTCCTTTTAGCGATTCTGTCTAGCTTCTGTGGCGAAGACCTAGTGAAACAAATAGCAAAAAAAAAAACGGCTCGTGGTTGGTCTCAAGGCCCATCCGCCCCGTGTGCGACCCTCCCTTTAACGGAATGTCAGCCGGGGGTGAGACGTATTACAAACTCACCCACGCCTTCGAGCGACGGTTGAACGCGCCAGTGCTGCCCGGGCTCGCGACCGTCGGGCGCTTCTTCCCCCCGTCCTCGGCCGCCGCCCTCTCGGCCTCGCGGGTCCCTCCTCCGGCACCGTGTCTCG